GCACCAGAACAAGGACCTTAGACATGAGATCAAGGCAATTCCCTCCTCTCTCTCAGGGGCAAAAGTACAGCATCAAGGCCACCTAGGAAATCTGTGACCTAATCCAACAGGCAGCTCCCTGTCACCCTGTGGATGCAGTAGGAAATCTATGGCTCAGTTCTAGTTGCATCCTGCCGTAGCTGTGAAAGGGCAACAGACTACATAGGCCCAGTAATGCTGCCTACCCTGAGGCTCAACATACAACTTGTTTGGCCTCCTCATAATTCCCACAGCACAACTCCAAAAAGTACTAAGGAACAGTGGAAAAGGCATGCATCACCTAACCCAGCTTTAATCCTGACTCAAGACTCCATAATATAGGAGAGCCACAATCACTTCTCTAGGTCTCATTTGTCCCAACAGCAACACAAGAAAGCTAGACTATGTATAATCTAAGGATTTTTCTGATCCTGAGAGTCCATGATTCTCTCCCTAGACAGGACAGCAAGGTGATCACTCAACAAGGAGCTGGCATGCCCAGGAGCCTTGCTGGCTCTGCACTCGGACAATCTTGCAGAACTCCAGAGTCTCCTCTTCTCACCCCACCCATTTGGGTAGGAAAGCAGAGTTCTGTTAAACTCGGCGACACCCTACCACCTCTATAAACCAGAATGCAACTACTTAAGCATCCTTCTTGGAGTGTCAGCTGAGAATACTGAAGACTAGGACTATGCCACCAACGGACATGGATCCTGACTCGGGATCAGGGGCCCTGTGTACTTCTCACTTCCAGCTCAACTGATGCCTAACCATGTTTATCATATCCATTCACCCATTCACTTAGGAATTTCTCAGGGACTAAACCCATTGCTCCAATATTGCTCATCCATTTTTTTAAAAATTATATATTTAGGCCCACCCTTTTCTTAAGAAGGTAGGGGATGAACAATGGGTTTAGGGGCGTGAGGCAATACCTGAATCCTTTTTATTGTTTATGTGTTTCCCACCCCCCCAAGTCCTTTTTAAGAGAAATACAAGAAAACCTCCTACATGATGAGGATTATTATAGATACACCACTTTAACTGACCAAGTTCCCTGAAAATTTGTATATGGTCTTATATTATCCATTCAAATATCCTTGATATTCATTTTGAATAGTTCTGAATTGAGCCGGTTACATTTAATCCTGAAGCTTCTCTCCCTGATCTCTTGCAGTGACACAATTATCTGTAAACACACACATATACACACAAACCAGCAGAGCTCTTATTAAGAATGCCTAAGGTAAATTATTTGGCAATTAATAATCACTCCCTAATCTATCTGCTTTGCAAGTTCCTAGGGTTTTGTTTGTGCAGGTATAGCTGATTTCCTATGTCCTCAGCTTCAGCCCTCCCAGGGGTACAGCTCAGCTGCCTATCCCCACCCTTGTCACCAGCCACAGCGCTCCCAGTGCACCTTCTTGATATAGGCAGCAATGTCCTTCTCTATGTTGTACTTCTCCATAGCCTGCGTGGCGCAGTCAACGGCATCCTGTTGCATGTCCTCAGACATGTCTGCGTTCTTGATCACTGCCTTACGGTCAGACATTGTGACACTGCAGAAGAAGCAAAGAAGTAAGGCTGACAACCCCATGACTCTGGACAATGAACATTAGCAACTGGGTGTGGAGCCTCAGTGGGAGAGGGGAGTATCAGAGGTAAAGGCAACACAAGACAAGGACAAGAGGCAAAAGAAGAGGGAGCTCATAAGCTTTTAACCAAGACATGGTCCCCAAGCCTGGGAAATACCAGATAAACAGTAACAAAAATATAATAAGCCATCAGTTTTTATCAAATGTAAAGTGAGGATTTTCTAACTCTAAATTTAATCTATTTCTGCTATTTTAAATGGCACCAATAATCAAGATACTACAATATATCACCTGCTAGCTGTGTCCTTAGGCAAACAACCTTTGTGTTTTCATGCCATCACCTTAAACAGGGGACTGCAGGATTATCCTGAGGGTAAACCAGGTGGCATTAACACCTGAAGATAGTAAGTGCTTGATTTAATGACCATTATTACATCATTGGTATCATAGTGGAAAGAAGACAGAGTAGGAATCACCAGACCTGACAATGAACTCTTGTGGTTTTGGACAAGTCACTTAGTTTTTCTGCATTTGATTACTTCCATTTTAACAATGAGGGTAGCTTTCTATCAGGGGGTGTTATAAGAATTAGAAGTATACAAGAATACCTGCAAACAACGACAGTCTATACAGGGATCTGTCCCATTGGCTAGATTCAGCCTGCCACCTGTTTTTGCAAATAAAGTTTTAAAGGAACACTTTACAATGGCGGAGTTTAGTAACTGCAATGTTTACTAAAAAGCCTACAATGTTTACTATTTGGACTTTCAGAGAAAATATTGCCAACACCTAGGCTAACCAATGCCCAGTGGTGACAGAGATAACAAAAAGTGAAGAATTATTATTTTAACTTCCCTTTTTCATAACTCTGCCATCTAAACTAAGGTATTCATCCTGTAACAACCTACAGACTTCTGGGGTAGACTTTGCATGGTCCCTTCCTAGGATGACAGGAATCTGAGGAGGGCTGCCCAGAACCTGCCTGGCAGTCTTTAGCATGTGAGGGCACTTTGCAGGAATAGAGGAGATGAGCTGCAAAATCCTATCCTCTGTCCTTGACCACAGTCCTGTTACACAGAGCAGTAACAATCCATTCCCCATGCCCCATCCCCCAAAATACAACTGTGTGGCCCAGCACAGTGGACAAAAATGCTGTCACTCCAGCCCTGTCTGATGAAAGGCTACAACAGGGTTCTGCACAATCAAGGAGAGTTCCCTGGTATCCTTCCAGGCCATCTTGATCTGAGTCCACACCAGCCTGCAGACTGGGTGGGCTGAAAGGGAAACAGAACTCATATATAACTAACTACCCCTTTAGCCTGTACCAGAGACAAAAAAAATGCATGCAAGCCAGCTGCCAGTCAGGCAGCCCTTGACTGAATCCAAAGCACTGTGTCTGGCACTGCCAACCTAAGCAGAGCTGGTTCTACTTCCGCAGAGGCTGGCAGAGCCCGGGATTAGTGGACCAGCACCCTCTGCCCCCACATCCTGAGGGGAAAGTCAGAGCCTCAAGGAGTCTGTGAGCGTTGCCTGGTGCTGAGGAAAGGTCCCGAGAACCCCGTTCACAGCCTGACTACCTATATGACCTTGGGCAAATCAACATCTTTTCAAAAACCAACGCTTTTTAAAAAATAAGGTAAATGAGGAAACTTGTGTGAATTTAGGCAACGGTACCAGAGCGGCACAGGGAGAATGTGTTGTTATAACGTTCTTTACACGTGAAGAAAACTAGTGTCACTTGGTCTTCTACACCAGCTCCCCACTCAGAAGGGGACCCTGTTTGTCAACCCAGGGTGGAGGTGGGGCCGGGTTACAGACATTAGCACCTTTTCCCAACAAGCTCACCTTGCTGCACTGCCTCATCCCCAAAGTGCAAAGGAACAACTTTATCACAGTAATTAAAAGCCACCTTACTCTCCAGGAGGGAGCCTGCAGTTACATAACGTTGGTCTTGTGACTACAATGCCACGATTCTTCACCCCCGGCCCCCTAGGCGTCTGAGAGGTGAGGCCTAGCCCCAATCTCCCCAATCCAAGGTGCCAGTGAGAAAAGGATTGGGAGGTGCCCGACCTAGCCCCTCCCTCCTGGGAAAAAGAACGAGGCACCTGGGCCTCCAGAGAAGGATGACCGGAGGGCCCCTGGCCAGCTGCCTCAGTCACGAGCCAGGAGCTCCTTTGAAGAGCGAAGAGGCCATTCAGCACAGACCCCATCCTCTGTCCTCGGCTTTGCGACCAAAAATAAATAAATATGTATATACACACGTATATCCCTCCACCACCCCACCCCCCAGAAGTCCAGCACCAGGTGAATGAGAAAGCACCCGCCACCCCACCTCCGCCCAGCAGGTCAGCCGCCCTCCCCAGTCCGGCCTGGAGCAGCGCCGGAGTGACTGGGCGTCCTCGCCGCAGGAAGGACGCCCCAGAGGGTGGCGGTGGTAGCGGTGGTGGCGGCGGCGACGGCAGGAGGAGCCGCGTCACGCCCGAGCCCTCCCCACCCCACCCCCTCGGCCCCAAACACTAGAAGCCTCCACGCAGCGCAGGGAGACTCCCGGGGGAGACAAGAACCGCACCCCCGCACCCTGGGCCTCCAGGCCCGTCCCGAGGGGTCACGAGAGCACCGGGTGGCGCAGCTCCGGAAGCGAGGAACGCCGGGGGCGTCACGCCGAAGTCAGCCCTTCTCCGGGCCCCTCGTGGGGAGAGGAGGCCTGAGGGGCACCGCACGTAGAGCCGCACTCTACCGGCGCGGCCTACCGCCCCGGGGACGCTCCCACCCACCGCTTACCTTCACGCAGGTGAGTCCGCGCGGGGCCCCGGGGGAGCAGCGATGGCCTGAGGCAGGACGCGGGCAGGGGCGGTGTCCCCTCGGCTACTCCTGCAGCAGCCGCCGCCGAGGCGGTCTCCGGCTTCCGCAGCACCGGACCGAGCGCTCGCCGCCGCCGTCCGCCCTTCGAGCTTCCCCGGCCGCTCTCACGCCTCTTCGCTGCGGCCGGCCCGCCTGCCTGCTCCGCGCAGACGCCTCGCAGCTCCGATCAGCTCCGCCGCCGAGAGCGACCAACGCTCGGCCCCCACTGAAATAGCGCCCCGCCCCCGCCCCCCTCCCGCCGCGCGCGCCGCCGTCCGCGCTCCCCATTGGCTGCGCTCGCCAGGCCCCGCACTGCGGGCTTCTCCCCGCGCCGCTCTCGCCCCACATCTTGTTTCCTCCCACAATGCTTCGGGGCGGGGAGAGGGGGTGGGGAGGGGGGGAGCTTGAAAGGGTGGGGGAGGGCTATGTGGCCCTGAGAGAAAAAAGAGTGCAGACCCTTTTACCCAGGGCTGGAGAGGCCAGGCCTAAAAAGGAATGAAGAGGCGAGGCTCAAGGAGAGGGAGAAGGGAGAGGGAGGGGCTAAAGACCTCAATCCCATGAAGAATAAAGAGAGGGTGACGGAGATTTCAGACCCAGGGAGCGTGACGGGGAAGAGGTAGGAGATCCTAACCTTAGGGAGAGGAAGGGGAAGGGGACGAAGTCAACAGGATCAGAGGGAAAGACAGGACCCCTTCCCTCCCCCCAAATCTGTGGGAAGGAGAAGAACAACCTGCCCTACGGGGAGATAAAGTCATCAACAGCCCCAGGGCTCCCTTCCTCTCACATCCAGGGAAGGTCCCTAAGCCCATCCAGCTCAGCCTTTGTTCCTGAGTCTCCAGGCCACTGCACCTAAACTCCCAGCACGGGCCCCAGCTGCTGTTTATCTTCAAAAGCAATAGAGGCAGACCCTAAAGCACAATTGTGAGGAGGGAGGTTTGTCTTTGGTACACAGGCCCCTGTGATAGTCCCTACCTGTCTGGTTAGACAGGACCTGAGGGGGAGAAACCCTTAGAGGTGGGCACTGGGGCAAGTCAGAGCTGGGGGAGCCGTAAACTTCACCCCCTCCAAATTGCTCACCTTATAAAGGAGAGAACCAAGGTACAGAGAGGAGCGTTCTCTTGCCAGGGCACCACAGGTCAGGCCTGGATGTGAATTCTAGGCTGAAAAGTGATGCTTCTGGGCGGGAACCTCTCTGGTAGCTGAAGAGGCTGTGGGAGTATGTGTAAACTCATGGGCACATTGGGAGAGTGCCTGCCCTCCACTCCACTCCACCCCACCCAGCTCTAGAGAAGAACAGGAAATGCCTGCCTTTTCTTCCCCTTTGTTTCATAAAGGAAGTGTCTACCTAAAAAAGTGGTGAGAGTATTGGGAGCCAAGCATTTGGCCCACCCAGTGAGGATTAAAAAGCTTCCATTCCCATCATGTTCCCTTCAGTATCCCAAACCATAGTGGGAAAGTCAGACTCGCTTTGGCCATGGCCTACCATGGTTTGGAACATCATTACTTAGTGTTCATTATGTGTCAGGGCAAACATGGAAAGTCATCCCCTCCCACTTCTGCTTTCCACAGCTCAGTCATCTGCCAAACTCAATCTGGATTTCAGAGAAATAGCCAAGGCCTGAGGTATCCCCTAACACTAAGGGTATTCTGATGTCAGTTTCTGAATGAATGGGGGATGGGGCATATGTGGGGAGGGAGGGGGGAGGGAGGGAGGGAGGGAGGAAGGGAGGAGAAGGATGCTTTATCCACTGAGGGTTTGTGAAGAGTTAATCTCATGGGCTACTGGGAGGAGAACTCATACCCTCTTTCTCCAACATGATTAGCTTCCAGCCTCTTCTCTGGTCTGAGGGTCAGAACTGCCATATATGGTTGTGCTGATTGTTCATTGTACAATGACATTCAGCCTAAGAAGTAAATGGGGGCTAAAAGACAGCCTGTACTCCACTTGCTGTGTGCCTGGTACAGGCCAGCATCCACCTAAAAGATGCATACCTTTTTCAAGCGGGCATGAAGGTGACTATGAACTAGCAGTGGCCCTTGCAAGGCCACACAGCCAGAGTAGAAATCCTCTCCCTCTCTGGCCCCCTTCCATAGATTAGAGTAGAGCAAGAGTTTGGTCGCTTCCAGTCCTGGGCTGTGGTGGGGTGGAGGTTGGGACACAGAGAACTTCAACTAACAGGGGTCAGAACCAAGACTTTTGACTTTTAAGAAATATGAGCGTCACCCTGTGTGTGTGACAAGAACTAAACTCTAAGAATATCGGGAAGATATGTTAATAACAATATGGTTTACAGTTAAGAGTTAATATCTGTAGAGTCTTCACTGTGTGCCAGGCTCAATTCTAAGTGTTTTGAATGCATATATTATTGCATTTAATCTCTGGAAGAATCATGGTGAGTATATTACTATTCCCCTCTACGGAGAAGTTCACTAACTTGCCCAAGATTACCCAGAGATTCAACCCCAGGCTGTCTGCTCCCAGTATCTATATTCAACCACTCAACTCTTCTAGCTCCTAACAGAGAAAAAAAAATGTAAACCAGGGGTTCAATGCTCTATCTAACTAAATTTCCTGAACTTATCTGACTCCAAAGCCCTTTTTCATCCAAACATTTGTTAACATCTTCAAGAACTATTCCACAGGACACAGTTTGGGAAATGTGTACTGTACTAATTACTGCCATTTATGTAAAATGCTTACTGATTATGATAATAACTGTGCAACATAGTAACTGTTATAATTAATGTTGGCTTAACTTGGTCATGTTTTTATTTGATGCCACTACACCTTTGTGATTGCCCAGTTTTCTCAGCCCAAATAGCAGAGCCATGTCTTCAAACTTGAAAATCAGAGGGGATTTTTGTTATTTGTCTCATCTGTGGGCCCCTTACCTTCTGGATGCTTCTTTAACTTAGGGGTTTCCCAGGGCTTCAGTCACTTGAGTAGTTTCATCTATGTGCGTGGTTTGGTTTTTACCATGATCTAGGCCCTGATAGCCCCCCTATGTCCCAGACCTCTCCACTGCGAGTATCCCTCAGGCTCTATAGACTCTTCCCATACATACATATAAATACTGGTTGTTAAGAGCATTGGCCCTGGAGCCAGAATGCCTAAATTCTCACCACCTTCCACCACTCTTTCAGCTGTGCAGATCTGGCCAAGCTGTTCAACATCTCAGTTTCTTTTTCCTCATCTATAAATTGAAAATAATAATAGTGTTATGAGAAAATGCATGAAAAACTCTTGGCACAATGCCTGGTCCGTATAAGTGATTAATAAATGTTAGCCACCCTCAGCATCTCTCTTCCAGACTCTTTTTCCTTCCCTGTCTTTCTTACCTCAGTTCATGGCCCCATTATCCACCCAGACACCAAGTCGGAAACCTGCAAACCACCTAGATTAGTGTTTTTTCCTTACGACCACATCTCCATCATTACTCACTTCTGAGATATTTCCCCAGTGCATACCTCCTTTCATTATAAGTGCCTCATTCTCATTACGAATACCCTGCATCAGGTGCTCATCATCTCTTCCAATTGGTTTCCTGCCCCCCATTCTTGGTACCTCCTCCCCAAATCCACACTGCAGCGATGTCTAAAATGCAAACCTCCCGGCCATCACACACATGGCCTCTCTGCCTTATCTCCCCACACTTCCCACCTCCTTCTTCAGTCTCTAGCAACACCATCAACTGCCTGTGTTTTCCCTCACACCCAGATTCCACACCTTTGTCCATGTGATTCTCTTGCCTATGAGGTTGTGGCTTTCTTGACTAATTCCTTTGTTTGAGTGTCCTCTGCAATGCCTTCCCTGAATCCCAGGTGGGGTGCATATTCCTCTTCTTTGCTTTGGTCCATCCAGGGCTTATCTCTAACCACATTCTATTAAATTTGTCAGTTTTATGTTTGTCAATAGGTCCTTGCAAACAGGGATTATGTGTGGGCTGCAGAACCTAGCACGGTTCCTGGAACATGAGATGTTCTCTGTAAGTATTAGTTAAACTGGTCGTGCTCATTAATGGCTGAAAAATACAACTTGGAAGGACACTCTGTCTCTTACCCAAAGAGCCATGGCCAGGCTCTTCTGTTTCTGTAGGCCTGATTTTTAAATTGAGTTCCTCCTCACACTCTCTGTTGGGTAAATCGACACCTCAGAGGTAAAGACAATCAAGGGCTCACCCACCCCAGCTGACTGGGTCACCCAGAAAAAAGAAGCCATCCAGTCACAGGTCACTTCACCAAGCCACTTAGCCATTACTTGCTTCTGGGGCTCCAGGGGGATGAAGGGTGGGAGCACACATGCTGATACTCCCTCCCATTGCAGTACAAACCATGATGCCAGTCCCCTCTGCCAAGTCCCCAGTGGGAAAACCTAAGGAAGAAAGCAACACGGAATCTGCCCCATTTCCTAGCTGATTTCTGGGGTGGCCTTGAAAATATACTTCCCTAGGCAACCATTTACCAAGCCCCAAATATTGCCCTTTTCGCCCAAGTTCCCTGAAACCTGGAGGAGCCAGCCAAGGTTAACCATGTGACTGGGAGCTAGTGAGATAAACACTGGCCTGGGAGTCCGAGGAGAAATCTTAAGCCCAGTGTGACTCTAGTCATTTCACCTCTCAGAATCTGGATTTCCTCATCTAGACAATGTAGGACCAGATAATCTATCAGGTCCCTGTCAGCCCCAAAGTCTCTGATTCTCCGATTTCAATGCCCTACTCATGAATGGTACCTTCCCTGTGAGTCAGAGAAATTTCTGTACCTCTAGCCAAGATTAAATGCCCTCTTTTTTTCTGATCTGATAAACTCAGAAGTCAGAGAGCATTTCTCTACACTCCCACACCACCCTCCAAAACTGGGATATCATTTTGTTCATCTTTGTACTCCCTCAAAGTAATGAAGTACCATGACATAGTTAAGAGTCAGTGAATGTTCAGAGCTTTAATTAAAATATTAAAGCAAATGGTCACCAATAAGGAACCAAAGAGAAGGTGCTCCAATAGAAGTATAGTAGTGGTTTCTAGGTCATGACATCTCCTGAGTTAGGGGTCTTCCTCCTTCATTGTCTGGACAATCCCAAGGAACCCTGCCCCAGCCATGGGAGAACCATGACAGTCCTGTGGAATTTGTCAGCCTTTGAACATCCAAATGATCAAGTTAGGATTCTTGGCTGCAAGAAACGTCTGAAGGGAAAAACAAGACCAGAATAGCTGCCCCTGACTCCAGGGCACAGAAACCATGGAGCAGCTTCCCTGGGGCATTCCCGTGGGGCAAATCACTGGCATTTTCCTTGAGTCACCACCCTACTGTTGATTTGGATTCCCAAAGAAGGGCATCTGAGTGGACAAATTGAGTCACAAGTCCACCTTTTGCTCATGGAAGTGAAGGGCATCCTGACTGACAGGCCTTATGAGATTGAGGAGGGAAATAGTTGATGGGAGGGAAATCCGCAGGCAGTTACAAGAAGCGAGAGAATGGGCCCTGGGCAGGCAGAAACCATCTCTTGGAGAGAGATGCTCTTGGAGAGAGATGCTCTTGGAGAGTCTCAGGAGTGGGAGACGAGATTATCTGCATGGGAGATCCTTATCTCCACTGTCATAAAAACATAGGCTGTGTTCTTTCACTCTCCGTCCCTTAGAGTGAGGTGGGGAATGGTTAGGCAAGCCCTAAAAAATGAGGTCTGCACAACTTTGCCTTCCACTTTAGGACAATTTTGGAGGAAAACTTTGCCTTGTCAGGCATGCTGCAATATATATTCCAGTTGTCAAAAACCTTTTTTTTTTTTTAATCTTCTCACTGGGAAATGGAGGTCCCCTTTACATTTCACATGATAAGGTAATTCTATTTATATATATATATAACAGCTTTATTGAAATATAGTTCACATACCATAAAATTCACCTTTTCAAAGTGTACAGTTAACTGTGTATCAGTGACTTTTAGAATATTTACAGAATTGTGAAACCAGCACCACTATCTAATTTTAGAACATTTTCCTCACCCCCCAAAAGAAACCCCATACTCACTGTCAGCCACTCCCCTGTTTCCCCCTAATCTCCAGTAATTTACTTTCTGTCTCCATGGATTTGCCTGTGCTGGATATTTTGTATGAATGGAATATATGGGCTGTTGTGCCTGTCTTATTTCACTTAGTATAATGTTTTCAAAGTTCATCTATGTTACCCATGAATCTATACTTCACTCATTTTTATGACCATGGTTAATATTTTATTTTGTGGGCATACACTTTTGTGTTTATCATGAATCATTTGTGCTGTTTCCACTTTTTAGCAGTTATGAATAATGCCTCTAGAAACATTCAGGTACAAGTTTTTGTGTGGATATGTGCTTTTGATTCTCGTGGATATACAGCCTAGGTGTGGAATTGATGGGTTTTATGGTAACACTGTGCGTAACCTCTTGAGGAAGGGTCAGACTGTTTTCCAAAGCATCTCTTCCTTTGTACATTCCCACCAGCAGTGTATCCTCAGCAATGACTGTTGTCTGTGTTGTTTGGTTATAGCCACTGTAGTTCATGTCAAAGGATACCTTACTGTGTTTTTTTTAAATATATTTTATTGATTATGCTATACAGTTGTCCCATCCCCCCCCTTTATTCCCCTCTGCCCCGCATACTCCCTCCCACCTGGACTCCTCCCTGCCCACCCCCCACACAGTTAGTTCATGTCCATGTGTCTTACATAAGTTCTTGGGCTTCTACATTTCCTATACCATTCTTAACCTCCTCCTGTCTATTTTCTACCCACCATTTATGCTACTTATTCCCTGTATCTTTTCCCTCATTCCCCCCTCTTCCCTACTGATAACACTCCATGTGATCTCCATTTCTGTGATTCTGTTCCTGTTCTAGTTGTTTGCTTAGTTTATTTTTGGTTTTTTTTAGATTCGGTTTTGATAGTTGTGAATTTGTTGTCATTTTACTATTCCTATTTTTTATTATCTTCTTTTTCTTAGATAAGTTCCTTTAACATCTCATATATTAAGGGATTGGTGATGATAAACTCCTTTAACTTCACCTTTTCTGGGAAGCACTTTATCTGCCCTTCCATTCTAAATGAAAGCTTTGCTGGATAGAGTAATCTTGGATGTAGGTCCTTGCCTTTCATGACTTGGAATACTTCTTTCCAGACCCTTCTTTCCTGCAAGTTTTTTTTCTTTTTTTTTTTTTTTTGAGAAATCAGCTGACAGTCTTATGGGCACTCCCATGTCCTTCTCTCTTGCTGCTTTTAAGATTCTCTCCTTATCTTTAATCTTGGCTAATGTAATTATGATGTACTTTGGTGTATGCTTCCTTGGGTCCAACTTCTTTGGGACTCTCAGAGCTTCCTGGACTTCTTGGAAGTCTATTTCCTTTGCCAGATTGGGGAAATTTTTCTTCATTATTTTTCCAATAAGTTTTTAATTTCTTGCTCTTCTCTTTCTGGCACCCCTATAATTTGGGTGTTGGAATGTTTAAAGTTGTCCTGGAGGTTCCTAAGCTTCTCATTTTTTCTGAATTCTTGTTTCTTCACTCTGTTCTGGTTGAATGTTTATTTCTTCCTTCTGGTGCAAACCATTGATTTGAGTCCTAGTTCCCTTCCCGTCACTGTTAGTTCTCATACATTTTCCTTTATTTCACTTTTCATAGCCTTCATTTTTTCCTCTATTTTGTGACCATCCTCAATCAATTCTGTGAGCATCCTGATGACCAGTATTTTGAACTGTGCATCTGATAGGCTGGCTATTTCTTTGTCACTTAGTTGTATTTTTTCTGGGACTTTGATCTCTTCTTTCATTTGGGCCTTATTTTTTTTTTCCCTCGGTGTGCGGTTATTAGTAAGGAGTGGAGCCTTAGGTATTCGCCAGAGCAGGGCAACCCACATCACTGTGTTGTGGCGTTGTATGTGGGGCAGGGGTCCAAGAGGGAACAATGCCACTTGCTCAGGTCTGGGCAGGCTTTCAGTCACTTCCTCCACCACCCCCAAGCAAATTGGGCCCTTCTGGTGCTGATTCCCAGGTGAGTGGGTTTGTGTAGTTCTAGGACCCTATGGGCCTCTCCAACAAACTCTCCTGTGAGGCTGGATGTTTCTCCTGCTTCTTCAACTCCCACAGGTTTTTTAAGTCAGAGGTTTTGAGGCTTTATTTCCCCATACTGGAACCCTGGGTTGCTCGATCTGTCTCACTCTCCAGTTGTTATTCCCAGTTTACCCACATGCAAATGTGGGACTTCCCAGTCCAGCAGCCACCACCTTGCCCTGTCCACCAGCTGTGGCCTTGTCTCGAGTCCTCTCCAGTCTGGCTACCTGTCTCTGCCCCTCCTGCTGGTCTGAATGAATATTTCTTCTTGAACTCCTTGGTTGTCAGACTTCCATACAGTTTGACTTTCTGGCAGTTCTGGTTGTTTTTGGTTTTTTAATTTGTTGTCCTTTTTTTGGTTGTGCAAGGAGGACTATGCTTCCATTTTGCCCAGAAATCTCTCACTGTGGTTTTGATTTGCATTTTCTTGGTGGCTAATGATGTTGAGCAGCTTTTCATGTGTTTATCAGAAATTTGTATATTTTCTTTAGGGAAAAATATTCAGATCCTTTGTTCAAATTTTATAGGTTATTATCTTTTTATTATTGAAGTGTAGTATATTCTGTATACTAGACTCTCATTAGAGATATAGTTTACAATTTCTCCCATTCTGCAGATTGTAGAAACTTTGAAGCAAAAAAGGAATTTTTCTTTCTTTTTCTTTTAGGGGGAGAGCATGAATGCAACCCCCCACTAGCACAAATTATGCAGTGGAGTTTCCCACATTTGGGGAAATCTCAGGGGTCAGCACATCCGGAGTGCAATGGGTGAGCCTCGCCCTGGGAAAACCACCTTCTAGATCATGTATCTCTCCTTCTAGGTAAGTATACAAATTTGTCTATTTTTCTTTTTGTCCCTTGTGCTTTTGATATCATATCCAAGAAATCACTGCCTAACCCAAGCTCACAAAGATTTACTCCTATATTTTCTTCCAAGAGTTTTAGCTCTTTCTAAATAATCTATTTTGAGGTAATTTTTATGTATAATGTGAAGTGGAATCTAACCTCATTGTTTTGCATGTGGATATTCAATTGTCCCACATCTTTAGTTGAAAAAACTATTCTTTCATCATTAAATTGTCTTGGCATCCTTATCAAAAATCAATTGACCATAAATATAGGAGTTTATTCCTGGACTCCTAATTCTGTTCCATTGATCTATGTATTCTTATGCCAGTACCACATGCTCATCATAGCTTAGTAGTAAGTTGTGAAACCTGGAAGTGTGACTCCTACAACTTTGCTCTTCTCTTTCAGGATTATTTGTCAAATCTCAGTCCTTTGCATTTATTTCCATGTGACTTTTAGGACCAGCTTACTAATTTTTAATTAAAAAGTCAGCTATTATGTTGATGGAGATTATGTTGAATCATAGGCAATTTGAGGAGTATTGCTATCTTAACAATATTAAGTTTTCTGACTATGAACATAGATTTCTTGCCTTTTATTTGGGGCTTCTTTAATTTTTTTCAATCATGTGAAAATTTTGTATGTACACTGAAAGTTGTACATAAATTTTACAACTTTCAGTGTACATATCTTATCATTGTTTTGCTAAATACATTCCTAAATATTTCATTTTTTTATGTTATTATAAATTGAATTATTTTCTTAATTTCATATTCATATTGTTCATTGCTGGTGTATAGAAATACAATTGATTTTTGTATATTGTAGTTTGTATTCTGCAACCTTGCTGATCTCATTAATTAATCCCTAATTGTGTGTGTGTGTTGTTTAGAATTTTCTACATACAAAATCATATCATATATGAATAGAGATAGTTCTGCTTCTTCCTGTTTGATCTGGGTGCCTTTTGTTTTTTTCTTGCCTAATGGTCCTGCCTAGAACCTTCAGTATATGATGAATAGAATTGGTGAGAGCAGACATCCTCATCTTGTTCTTGATCTTAGGGGGAAAGTTTTCAGTCCTTCACCTCTAAGTCTAATGTTAGATGTGGGGGATTTGTATATGCTCTTTATCAAGTTGAAAAAATGCACTTCTACTCCTGATTTTTTTAGTGTTTTTATAATGAAAAGGTATTGAATTTTTTTCAAATACTTGTTCTGCATCTGTTGAAATGATGGTGTGGTTTTGGCCCATTGTTTTGTTAATATGGTATATTATATTGGTTTCCAAATAGTAAACCAATCTTGCATTCCTGTGATAAATCCCAGTGTTTTTATATGTTGCTGGGTTCATTTTGCTAGTATTCTGTTGAGGATTTTTGCATCTGTGTTTTGCATCTAAGTGATGTTGATACATATTTTTCTTGTGATATCTTTGTCTGGTTTTGATATCTGAGTAATACTGGACTCATGGGATAAGTTGAAAAGTGTTCCCTCCTATTCTTTTTTTTTTTTTTGGAGGAGTGTGAAATATTACTATTAATCCTTTAAACATTTGGTAAAATTCACTAGTGAAGACATCTGGGCCTAGAATTTTCTTTGTGGGAAGTTTTTTTGTTTTGCTTTAGAGTTCTTTTATTATTATTATTATTAGTATTATTATTAGTATTATTATTGCTGCTCTATTACAGTTGTCACAATTTTCCCCTTTTGCTCTCCCCTGCCTCACCCGCCTCCTCCCCCTCCCACAGTCAATCCCCACCCTGTTGTTCATGTCCATGGGTCATTTATACTTGTTCTTTAACTAGGCCCTTCCTCTTCTTTCCTCCTTTATCCCCCTCCCTCCTCCCTTCTTGTCCTTGTTTGTTCCTTGTTTCCATGCCTCTGGTTCTATTTTGCTCATTTGTTTTGTTCATTAGGTTCCTGTTATAGGTGAGATCATATGATATTTGTCTTTCACCACCTGACTTATTTCACTTAGCATAATACACTCCAGTTCCATCTATGCTGTCACAAAAGGTAGGAGTTCCTTCTTTTTGCTGTGTAGTATTCCATTGTGTAATGTACCACAATTTTTTGATCCACTCATTTACTGGTGGGCACTTAGGCTGTTTCTAGCACTTGGATATTATCAATAGTGGTGCTACAAACATTGGGGTGCATGGGTTCTTTTGAACTGGTGTTTCAGGATTCTTAGGGTACAATTCCAGCAGTGGAATTGCTGAGTCAAAAGGCAGTTCCATTTTTAGTTCTCTGAGGAAATTCCATACTGTTTTCCACAGTGGCTGCACCAGTCTGCATTCCCACCAACAGTGCACTAGGGTTCCTTTTTCTCCTTATCATCAGCACTTGTTGTTTGTTGACTTATTAATAATGGCCATTCTGGCTGGTTTGAGGTGACATCTCATTGTGGTTTTAATTTGCATCTCTCTGATGTCTAGTGATGTTGAGCATCTTTTCATATGCCTCTGGGCCCTCTGTATGTCCTCCCTGGAGAAGTGTCTGTTCAGGTACTTTGCCCATTTTTTAATCAGATTGTTTGTCTTCCTGGCATAGAGTCATATGAATTCTTTATATATTTTGGAGATCAAACCCTTGTCCGAGGTATCATTGGCAAATGCATTTTCCCACATGGTTGGTTCCCTTTTCATTTTGATGATGCTTTCTTTAGCTGTACAGAAGCTTTTTAATTTGATGTGGTCCCATTTGTTTATTCTTTCCTTTATTTCCTGTGTACTAGAGGATGTATTGGTGAAAATATTGCTGCATGGGCTATCTGAAATTTTACTGCCAATGTTTCTTAGTGAGAAGTTTTATTTTTTAAGATTTTATTTATTTATTTTTAGAGAGAGGGGAAGGAAGGGGAAAGGGAAGGAGAGAAATATCAACGTGTGGTTGCCTGTCACACATCCCCAACTGGGGACCTGGCTCACAACCCAGGCATATACCCTAGACTGGGAATTTAATCAGCAACCCTTTTGTTTGCAGTCTAGCACTCAGTCCACTGAGATACACCAGCCAGGGCATCTTTGTGGGAAGTTTTAAAAATACTAACACAATCTCTTTTTTTTTTAGGTTTATTCAGACTACCTGTTTTTTGAGGTAGTTTCAGTAGTTTTGTATCTAATAATTTGTCCATGTTTTCTAGGTTATCTAATTTGATAGCATTAAATAATATACTTGTTCATAGTATTCCTTTATAATCCTTTTTATTTCTCTAAGGTCTGTAGTAATGGCCCTTATTTCATTCCTCATTTTAGTAACTTCAGTCTTCTCTTTTTTTTCTTGGTCAGTCTAGCTGAAGATATGTCCATTTTGTTCATCTCTTCAAAGAACCAACTTTTAATTTTATTAATTTTTTTTACTGCTTTTCTGTTAATAGGGTGATGTAAGCTACTTGGGTGAAGGGACATTCATTCAGACTGGGACTATTTCTTGAGCAGCAGGATTCAAACTCAACTGCTTGTCTATTTCACTCTAAATAGGGTTTTACTTTAATGTCTCCCTCATCCCCATGACTCCTAGAGTGATATGATGAAGAAAATAGAAACTACACTATTACTTGGGAGCTGTGAGGAACAGCTGTTCCATTAAATCCATAAACACTTCTTAACTATTAACCAGCTGTGAAGATGACACCAAGGGGCAGGGACGAGTAGCCAGAATCATCCACAGACTTTCCTAAGCCCACAGTCTAGTTGGGGAGATACACATGTAAAACCAACTTTAACACAGGTCAGACTACAATGAGGGCTGTGATTGACTGTGAGCAAAACACTTATGGGGGGCATGGGGTTGGGAGGCAGTTAATCTGTCTGGAAGAATTAGGGAACAGAAGAGTTGGCACTTGAGGTGTGTCTTTTAAAGCATGGTAGGATTCAAGGGAAAAAAGACAATGGAGGGAGGGGAAGTTCTTCAGTCAGAGAGAAGCACACAAGCCAAGGTAGGCAAGGGAGGAAGCCAGGCCTGGCAAGGACAGAGTGTGCTGGGGAAGGGAACAGGCTGGACAGAAAAGCTAGGGCCAATCTTTGGAGAGGTCTAAACAGTGTCTAAGGGGTCTAAGGAGCTAGAACATTATCCTTAAGAATCTTGGGACCCTGGCCTACATGCTCAGTGGTTAGACATTGTCTTATACACTGAAAGGTCATGGGTTCCACTCCCATTCAGGGCACATGCACAGGTTGTGGGTTCAGACCCCCATCAGGGTGCATAGGGTAGGTGACTGACCGAAGTGTCTCTCTCACATTGAGATGTTTCTGTGTGTGTGTGTGTGTGTGTGTGTGTCTGTCTCCCCCTTCCTCTCCCTCTAAAATCAATGACTATATCTTCGGGTGAGAATTTAAAAAAAGAAAAAGAAGGAAATTTGGGACCCACTGAAGGGCACTGAGCAGGAGGATGACATGACAAGCCTATGTAGAAATGTGGGCTGCAACAGAAACCTACGCTGTTTTATTCAGGTTCTATGGTGCCATCCACACCCATGGAAACAGCAGAGACAGCTGCCTTTACCATTGTTGATCACCCCTCCTTGGGACTGTCTCTTCCCTAAGGTTCCATGGCATAGCACTTCCCTGACTTCCTTTCTACCCCTCTGGCTGCCTGAGCAGGCTTTCTTCCTCTGCTCATTCTAAATGTTGGTGTTCCTCAGAGTTCTGTTCTAGATCCTTTTCTTTGTCCACTAGGCAGTTCTCCCTTGGAGATCTCACATGTTGCCATAGCTTCAGTGACCAGCTATGGATTGGGAACTCCCAAATTTATATATAGCTTTCTCAGATCTTTCTTTTTATTTAGACCCATTGGTTCCAACTGTCCATTGGACATCTCCATTTAGGTGCTATCTTCATTAAAATTAGGTCCAGCTGTAAGTAGAAGGAAAACCCCAAGTTAAATGGCCCAAACAAGGCAGGAGTTCATTTCTCCTTTAGATAAAAGGAGTCCAGAGATATTAAGTGCAGGCCTGGGATGACAACCTGGGAGTCAT